TTCTCGGTAAATCCAATAGCGGGATCCTGTTCGTTTCATTTTTGACTTCTTCTCTGGTATTGACATGATCTATGTGGTTTTTGCCTAAATTTTATTTCAAAAACCACATAGATCATGTCAATACCAGAGAAGAAGTCAAAATGAAACGAACAGGAACCCGCTATTGGATTTACCGAGAAATTTGCACCTGGACCCAATTTTTATCTAATTTGGTTCAGCGCGGAGCGAGCACCTAAGTTTCTAATGATTCAGTGTTTGCAAGCGTTCAAAGGACTCACTCACTGACTAGGTATGCCCCCGTTTTTAACTGGCGTTGAAGCATACCTATCACTAGCCAATCTAGAGATTGTATGGGAAGTGATGTGTGCATTGCTGACAGCCATAAAACGTTTCCTTGCTGGTGATACACAAAAATTTTCTTTTTTAGGTCATTCTTTAGGTCATTTTTGGTCATTCTAAATCCGCTATTGCATGCACTTGTTTCAATCTCGAATGATAATGGCATCTGATTTCATTACGCTATGCTAATAATTCATGCAATTACAAACTCAAAATTACTTATGTTTTGAATAAAAATAAACAAAACTAATGCACTTAACAGACACTCGATTTTATTTGTTTGCTTTTCAATATTAATATCAATGCCATTTGAATTATACTTTTTAAGGAGTATCCTAGTGATAAACAAAATACATTATCCTTGGTGTCTGCATTGATATGTCGCTATATGCGCTTAAGCATAATAAATGGCTGTCTTAAATATTTTTTATTGGTCTATTCTTTGTCGTACGGGTATATCTGTGAGTGAGAGTGAAGAGAAGATCATTTATTTGTTCACTTATTAACTTCTTGGTTTTGTTCACTAATATGACAAGTATTGGTAATTTAATTTAAAGCTTTTAGGATCTTCTGATTTAGTGAGGTGACCATCATTGAAAAACCAAGGATTTTTACTTTTTTAGAATGAAATTCTAGGCCAGTGTGGTATATGATTTGAAAAAGAGTTTCGTTTTTATAAGCGAAATTGTTTCGGAGAACGCGATCACTGTAAAAGTATCTCACTACACACGTCACTAGAACTTTGATAGCAACGAGACGTTGACCGGTGAATGGGAAAACACTAAAAACCATGCTTCTTCACTTCATTTTTCTTTCCAAGAATGCTTTTTAGGAGAACTAAAACAATTTCAAAGAGCATATTAACGTATCCATATGCATCCATAGGAAAAAGACACTACGCATTGCTAGTTATCAGCAGACATTTAGCACTTTAGTACATCTAAATTTTTACACAAGATATCCTATAATTCTTTTTCTTAAGAATAATGTCTAATTAAAACAAAATATTACTTTCTTACTTTTTTTAGATTTAGTTAGTTATTCAAGCCAATAACGTTAAGAAGATCATTACTGTTGTTGAATTTCGACATAAAGATTAAATTTGTTATAGACCATTGTTAGATATGTCTCGTAATTGTTTTTGAAATAAATTTGTTTATTTATTTTCAATTGAACTAAAGCGTCGGCATTAAGCTGTTTTCCCTATGACGTTCATTCTCCATGATATTTGAATGGAGGATAACAATGATGTTAAGGAGAAACAGCTTAGTCTGCAGGGTCAACCGCAGCAACAAACTCAACCTCAATCAACAGCCTCAATTGTGCCAAGTGATGTTCGAACCGGACGAGGACCGGGACTCAGTACAAATGTCAATAAAAATACTTTAAAACCTGATAATGATCCTAATACGACAACACTATCAGCTCTTGTGAGCTCGACAACCGGACCAAATGCCATGCTGATGGTTGGTCCAAATTTTAGAGTAGGAAAACGAATTGGGGCGGGTAATTTTGGAGAAATAAGACTAGGTAAGTGCGCAACAGATAAAAGTCTATTAGATGTAATTAACTTTAAAAAATTCGCTCTTATTTTAGGTAAAAATTTGTACAATAGTGAACATGTAGCAATTAAACTTGTGAGTATTCGTTTTTCCGCGATGATGATAAATGGATGTTCTAATGTTTTTATATTTGTTTCATTCAGGAGCCAATGAAATCACGTGCACCACAACTGCACCTTGAATATCGTTTTTACCGACAACTTGGTACTGCAGGTACTGTTTTTCTTGTTTCATTTAGTAGTATAGTTAGCTAATTGCGAATGTATCATCATTCGACTAATGATATTTTTCTTATTTTCATTTTAGAAGGAATACCTCAAGTTCATTATTTTGGACCTTGTGGTAAATATAATGCACTTGTGATAGAATTATTGGGACCAAGCTTAGAGGATTTATTTGACAATTGTGAAAGAAAGTTTACGTTAAAAACAGTTTTAATGATTGCTATACAACTGGTATGAATGTGTAAAATGATGCTTTTATATCATCAAGTTTTTATTTTAATTGTTTTTATTTAGATTACCAGAATGGAATATGTTCATTCAAAAAATCTAATTTATCGTGATGTGAAACCAGAAAATTTTTTAATTGGTAGAAGTTCAACACGTAAACAGCATCTAATTCACATAATTGATTTTGGATTAGCCAAAGAATATATTGATCCAGAAACAGGAAGACATATACCATTTCGAGAACATAAAAGTTTAACGGGCACAGCAAGATATATGAGTATCAATACACATCTAGGAAAAGGTAAATTATTGTATTTTATGTAAAATAGTGTACCATTTGTATACATATTGAAATGAGGATATCTAATACGTGTAATGACCTTTTTTCTCAAGCACATATGGCACATTCTACAGTTGAAAGAGGAAATATTGAATAGATCTTCTATTAGTGTCTTGGACTTGTTTGCAGGTACCAGTCAGGAAATGTGAGTGTGTTACTTTTTGTGAGATGTAAAACTCTTCAGTCAAATAAAGCACAAAGATTGGAAATGCGTCGGAAATGTAGTTTAACTTTATAATGTTAATTAAGCAAAGTTTATCTTGAACTACGATGCATAGTTTGAAAGAAATAAGGTTCTTACATATGAAGATAGTCTTCTCTAAACTTTGTCTGACTTAAATGAACTAACCGTAATACTTTGCTTGTTTGTCATTGTAGAAAAAAAATGTTTAGGCTAAAATGGGATACTTTTCAGCTCTGTTTGTTGTTTGATTATACACTTATGAATCTTAGAAAAAGTAATGTACTCAAACAAAACTAGCATTTTCGATTTAACTCTGATAAGGGATCATGGATAATGTCGGATGATGTTCAACAACACCTTTTACCTGTTTTGTTACTGATGATAACATATATTTCTGACGACATTTACATGTATAGAAGTTTTTTCTGTAGAAGTAAACTTCTTTCTTCTGAGTAGAACAGTCTGAATAATAACTACATTTTCTTTCGAGTTTGGGTTGTTATTCAATTGGTACATAACAGCACTTTCTCTAGTCATATATCTTAAGTGGGATGTTGAGCACTAATGAAATGATATTTAATTTTTCATCCTTTCTTGTGCTTTTTTTCTAGAACAAAGTCGCCGTGATGATCTCGAAGCACTGGGCCATATGTTCATGTATTTTTTGAGAGGAAGTTTGCCATGGCAAGGTTTAAAAGCTGAAACATTGAAAGAACGTTATCAAAAAATTGGTGATACAAAACGAGCAACACATATCGAAGTTTTATGTCAAAATCAGCCAGGTATAAAAGAAAAATCCTTCCTTTTATGTAAATAGAAATATATTGAATGTATTATTTTAATTTCACAGAAGAATTTGGAAAATATTTAAAATATGTACGAAATTTGGATTTCTTTGAAACGCCTAATGTATGTGATAATTTCCATCATTTCTTAATCTCTTATGTTAATATTATCTCTCGTTCGATTGTTTTAGTATGAATATTTAAGAAAATTATTTAAAGATTTAATGGATAGTCGTAATTTTGTTTGTGATTGGAATTTTGATTGGGTAGAAAAAATGCAAAAATTACAAAATAGAGTAAGTTGTTTTAATTATCATTTGTCTTTCGTCCATTATTCCCATTATCGATCTGTTATTCGTAATAAATATTAAGCCATCTCATGAACCACGAATTGCATCAACAACTCCAAAATGGCAATTACCATCGAATAATCGTCATCACATTCATCATCATCAGCTCCAACAAGTAACGTCTGCTGCTGTTGGACTTGCTTTTAATTCAAAATCTATCAATAATAATCGAGAATCATTTAATATGATATTATTACGATCATTAGGTTCTAAATACTATAATACGTCTGTAAGATTATAATGACGATGTCAAATAGGCTAATCGCTGCTACTCTTTTTTTTCAGTTGATACTTGCAGACTAATTTATTATTTTTGACACTTATGCATTTTGAATGTTTTTTTTAACTTGTAATTGCTTTTTTTTCTCTATTTAGAGTACGGGAAATACACAAGTTAATTCTTATCCTCCAGATTTATCTAGTCCTTTACCACGATCTCTTCCAAATAGAGTAAGCGTTTCATCTAGACTTCTTTGCTTGGCTTTTTTTTCCTTTACTTATTATTTTGCAATGCGCGCGTTTCTTGATATCGTAAAGACAAATAAACATCTCTCTATATCTGATAGCAACAGACAGACAAAAATGTTGTTGGTACAGAGCTTGTTTTGCCTGTCAATCATCTATTGCACGGTTCATTACAGGTGAGAGAAAGTAGGAAAACAAAACATTGTTGTCAATGTTTCCATGTATCGATTTCAACTACAAATGTCCCTCGTAAATTGTCTTCCTGTATTAACTAACACTCAATACTCTTCGATTATTCACTGCTTCGTTGTTTTAGTGGTAGTAATGCATACCCTTTTTTCTCATGAAATCAGTAGTCTAATTATTTATTTAAATATCATTGAAAAATGTACCGTTTTGTATCATAAATTTTGTCCTCGAGAGGAAAAAAACAAATTTTTTGCAGAATTTGACAGTAATTGTATGAATTTGTTTATGATTATATGTTCGTTTGTCTTTAAAATAAGCCTTAGATGAAAATTTTGTTAAATAGCACCAGAATCAAACCCAGTCAGATTAGTTCGTACACAACCTTCACTTGATATTCTTTATTACGTTTACTTTATATTAAACTTCTGTTACCTTTGTATAATAAAATTGATTTGTTCATTTCGTTTTTATTATTTACGAACTATACAATTTAATTCTGTTCACTGATTCATTAATTGAAAGATATATTGTTAATTTATTCGTTCTCATTGTTTTCCAGGTAATTAATTCGACAGATCAAGGTGATGAACCCATTACACATGAACATGCACCCATTGCGCCATTATCACCACCAAATGTTGATGTTGTTAGCGACACAAAGTAAGTTCTTGTGTTTTTTATGCTTGTATGTATTTTGTGAGCGCCTTTTAACTCAATTTTTTGAACGAGAGATGGTACTATACATAATACGAATATTTTTTTATTTACTTCATCATTTATATAATCTGATTGGGTAACTCGATCGTTAGACGGTTGTCTGTCTAGCGAGGGTATTTTCTACAATTCTTTCTTGAATGTTTTTTTTCCATCGACGTGGAAAGGGGCTATGGTGAAAGATCAAACTTTCAAAATTGTATACACTTCTGCTATTATCTCATTTATCCATTATATCGACTTATTCTAGACGTAAAAGTGATGAATTGAACTCATATAGTGCTGATGATTCTTCAAGTAGAATGTAAGAGACATTAAAAAAAACAATAATACCGTTTATGATACTCGCTCATTTTGACATTTACTTATTAATTGCTCTTTCTGTAATGGAAAAAGAATTTTAAGCTTTTATAAAATTTAACAATAATATGTTCGGTTGATAGATATAAAAACTATTATTTATTATTTTAAAATTATTACAGCTAAAAATTTGAAACCTTCATTCGGGATGCACGGTCTTTATGAACTACTATTTTCGTTTTGCCTCCGCTTAATTTTGTTCGTTTATAAGCATGTCTCATCTATGGTGAATGTGGTCTACGTCAATCTAACATCATAAGTTAATTATAAAAAGGTTAAGCATTGTTCGATTGTCTCCTTGTTCTGTATTCTTTAGAACTTCGAAAAACGATTGTTCTAGTTTGATTAAGTGTGGGGTTTTGCTTTCTCAATTTAGTTAGTCGGACAAACAGAATACGTAAAGCAGGAATGGAGTTAATGTCACTGTTTTGACTACAATAGGATTGATTTTATTCTGCGGAACGCGTATTAGGATAACTTCTGGTTCAGATTTCCATTTCATTACTTTCGCAAAAATTTCGATTTTGCATTTGACACATATGTCCTATCACTAACTCAAACTGATGGTTGAAAAACTTTGAAAATAGCAGAAAAGAGGTGAACGAAAAATAAATTACATATTTCACCAAGTTCAGAACAAATTTTCGACCGATAAACTCGCCCTTATTTCTTCTGTTTTATAGTTTTATCTACTGCTCTTCACTTAAAACGTGAAGCTGTTTGATTATACATTGAAATGAACTAAAGTAACTCGATTTTCAAGAGTATTTATTTTCAATTTTTTTTGGGTGATACCAAGGATGAGTTTCGACCAAAAACTGGATTTTTAGAGAATATGAGATTTATATCTCATTTGTCTCCGTTGTTCACGTACATTCTGATCATCTATTTATTTTATCCAAAGGTTGTTTTGATGTTCAAATTCGGCAAGTAGCAGCCAAAATTTGCTCAGTTTTGTATTATTTCTAAAATTTCGCTTTGGAGTTGTACTCGCTTTTTTTTGCTTCGATTTAACGGTCATATTCTGATAGATAAAAAACTGTGTCGATTTATCTATTGCAGACCTTGATCGAAGATCATATAAAGAGGTCAGAATTTTAATAAAAAAGCGTACCATATATTCTGTTTGTTTTTTTACGTTTTTATTGAATTAATGCATAAAAGTTTAAGTTTTTAAAGCTTAATTTTTATGTGAAGTGTATAGGACAAACATTTTTATACATTTCGTGCTATTTTCAAGTTTTTTGTTGATGATAGGTCATAATGTATTAAATGCACATTAGTCCCCTATTTGGCTAAGATAGCGACCTATTTCAAATTTAAATGTAAAATTCAAGACCCCACCTTGAAAAACAACATATTAGAAAATATTTCAGAAATTCTGAGAAATACCGCATGTGTTTAAATCCACATTGACAGGGAAACGGGAATATGATAAGCATAATAATTAAAAATAATCTAATGTGGATGAATGTGAACAAAATAAATCAACATTGATTTTATACACTTTTTATTCGTTTAGATGTTGTTGTTTTTTCAATCGACGTACTCGACATACAAATAAACAATCAAGAAAATAGTTTTACTAATATTATTGTACGGTTTTTCAACTATATGAACAGTTTATATAAACTCAAATAAAATACGTACGTATCCTCAAACGATGACATGTGTCTTAATTCTTGCTTTCATTTTTTTCCATTTGTAGTTGACCCGATCATCATCTACACGTTTTCTCTTGATTCGTTACACATTCATTTTATATATATATATAGCTCTCTTTCCATATATATATATATATACGAATCTACACAGTGAACATTAGAATTATTACTTAGAAATTTTTTTGTGTTGATTTTTTTTATACATGTATGCGTATGCTTGCATATAAAAAAGATCTGGTATGTATGTCACGAAAAAAATAATTTCTTGTTTTCATTATAATTGTTGTTGTTTATTGTTCTTGTGTAAATGTAAATGTATTTTTAAAGAAACAAAAAAACAAAATCTGTTAAGAAGTTTCTTTCTTTTTTTTTATTTGGTTTCACATTTTCTTCATTTTTTTTATTAAAGTATTTTCTGTCTGTGTGTCTTTCTCTCTCTTCAAACATAATATATGGATGTGTATAAAAAAAGAAATTTGTTGCTTGCTAAAAATAATAAACAAAGAAAAAAATAATTAAACTATCGTTAAAAAGGTCTGGATTTATCCAGTTAAGAACGTCCACATATCGTCTTCTCTTTTCTAATTTCTACTGTTGTTGTTGTGAAAAATTTAAACGCTCATTCATTCCTCCTAGTCTAATATGCACAATGAATTTTTTTCGATACGTGTGTGTTTATGTGTTTGTGTGTATGTATTAGTCATTTTTGTATGTAAACAACGAAGATAATCAATCCGAATATCGCCAAAGTTCAATAACAACGACAAAAACAAGAATATGTTTTCTTTGTTACTGCTTTTTTTATCTGAACAGTTTGTGTCTTGATATTTTTTTCTCCCCTAATAACTGTTTTTTTTTCTAATAGAAAGAAACGCATAAATAAAAAAAGATAAAAGAAATAATTGTAATCGTAGCATTCTCGAATGAAAAATATATGATATTTTAATCTATAACATCTATAACTACTCAAAATAAAGTTCAATTCGAGAAATACTTTAATCATCGAGACATTAACATTTAGGATATTCTACACCTCATGAGAAAAATATTCATTCCTAAAGTATCACTTCTTTTCTCACCGGTTCAAATGTTGCTGTAGAAACCGTCATAAAATTTGAGAACACCCTCTTTCTTCATGCACATGTAGCGTCTTATCTTATCTTATCTTATATTTGCATTCAACGGCACAAATCACTTATTTTCTTAGAATCTTATGTTCGTTATGAAAAAATAGTCAAATTTTATATGAACTCATAGTTTCAAACAAAAATCGATGTTTTTCATTATGTTGACTATTCGAGAGACAAGTGCGCATAATTAAAAGTCGAGACACAATGAGTTCTTCTTTTTTTACTTTAAATTTTCTTGATGGTTACATGTATAAATCAGAGTTTTTTTGTGTTTGTTTCAATAATTTACTGTTATTATTATATTAGTACTTTTTGCTCTTCCTTACACTGTTTTTGTTTTGTTTCTACTCGTTTTTTTCTTTCGTTTGCAAATTTTCATTCTGTTTGAATGTGAATACAAAGACAAATATACAAAAATGAAGATAAACGCGTCGATAAAATGTGAATGTTATAAATCAATAATCTATACGAAGTGGATGGCGTTAAGAAGAGCAAAGATGATTGTTGTTAGTTCGAATTGTTTCAGTGACAGCAAATTACAGTTGCCTCCTGAGTTTTACTTGCATCACCCGCTTACAGAACTTGAAAAAAGGTAAAGGAAATAAATCGGAAGAATCTAGTACTTGTCTGCACCGGTTATTTTCCTTTATATGGCTTTCTTTACTGTAGAATCATGATCTGATGATGATTTCATTCAGAATATCTGTTTTGAATAGGGAAAGAGGGCCATTTGTCTTAATTTTTCGTCTCCTTTATTGGACAATCTCTTCCACTTTAAACTCAGAAAAGGTAGTATATATTTTTTCATTAATTTATGAGAATGATTTTAGCTTGCTGATTTATGATGTCGGAGCGTCCATCATTAGTTGACATTGTGCTGGCTGTCAATCGCATTCGTTCGAAACTATGTGTGACACCTGTGGTCACCAGTACATGTTTGAATGATTTGACTGGACGTAATATTTACCTTAAATGTGAAAATCTCCATAAAACCGGTTCATTTAAGTGTCGTGGTGCATTGAATACTGTAATTAAAGCACTTGAAAACAAAGAGATTAGTATCAGTGGTTTTGTTACTCATTCTTCGGGAAATCATGGTCAAGCGTTAGCTTGGAGCGCAAAAAGTGTTAATCTTCCATGTTCAGTCGTTGTACCTGTGGGAACACCTTTAGTGAAAACAAATGCCATTGAAAGTTATAATGCAGAGCTGGTTTTATGTCCACCAACGCCTGCTGCAAGATTAGAAACATGCAATAAAATTGGACATGAAAAAAATTATATGATTGTACCACCTTTTGATCATCCTGACGTCATAGCTGGTAATTTCTAATTTGCGCTGTATGGCTTCGGCCGCTTGTGCTACTCTCCATTCTTTAATAAAAGCTTAAACTAATTTCTAAATATTTCTATTATACAATTAATATCTTTTATAAAAATGAAAGTTAAAACTTTTATACATTTAAATTTTAGGTCAAGGAACGATTGCTGTAGAATTCTTAAAGCAAGTTGAAGATTTGGATGCTATTTTCGTGCCTGTCAGCGGAGGTGGCATGATATCGGTACCAATTTTTCATGATGAATATTTGTTGTTTTAATTTTAGTTTATTTTAGGGTATTGCAATTTATGCGAAACAAATTAATCCAAATATTCGAATATATGCGTGTGTACCTGAAGGAAAAATGCTTAGTGAGTGTTTGAAATCATGTGAACGTTTATGGCCAAATCCTCCGGCATTTTTAAATACAAAGGCTGAAGGTACATTGTGTCTGTTTACTGATTTTCGTTTAATAATTAATGTGCTAAATATTTTTTAGCAATACGACTTCAACAATGTGGTGAAATAACATTTCCTATTATGTGTGATTTAGTTGAAAAAGAAGTTTTTACTATAGATGATGCGAGTATGATAGCTGCAACAAAATTTGCATTCGAACGATTAAAATTAGTTGTTGAATTAGCCAGTGGCTGTGCCTTAGCTGCCATATTATCTGATCAACTGAAAACATTAGACAAAAATATCAAAAATATTGGCGTTATTTTGTGCGGTGGTAATATCGATATAAATAAGTTACCATGGATAGAAAATGAAACTAAAACAAAAGATATATAAATATAATTTCTTCTTCACAACACTTTTATTAATTTGATTTATTTTTTTGAATTATACACATTTCTTATCAAGTCTTTGTTGATTAGTTTATATCGCTGTTAGCAAAAAAAAATTTAATTTTTACATCAACGATGTAACCTTCTTCTAATTAAAATAGTATATTAATTATCTACTAGAATGTACTATCTTCGAGTTATTAAATAAACTCAAAACAAAAATGTGTTGATAAACCACCCTGATGGCTTCCATAGTGTGTTCAGACACGCTAGACACATTTAATCGTCTTTTTTACTGTTAATCGCCGTGATGTCTTAACAAAATATCTCTAAGTTACTATTTTTTTTTGATAAAAATAGCTTAGATGCTTTCCATAGACATTACTAACGCATCAGAAATGCACAAGGTACCAGCTACGACTAAGACATCTAGTCACCCATAAGCCACGGATAAATTATGTACTCACATTCAAAGCATCTGGAATGCGTCGAGACTCTTGTTAGATACAAAGTCATTCTGGTACCTAGTCAAGACATCTCTGGCAAGAGAAATGGAGAGATACGTTTTGGCGCCTTTGCAAGTCATTGTGATGCTTCTTTTACATGAAAATATCTTATTATTGACTAAAAGTGAGGTTCTCTTTGAAGCGCCTAAGTGCACCTCTTTTTTCGTAGTGTACTTTATTCGCTATTGAATAACTTCTAAACATACAAAGTACAACATGGCACTCGAACCATAATACAACATATATCTAAAAGATCGCTTTTGTATTAAACTATCAATTAATATTTAAAGCATGGTGTCAGTAGGACAGTGGAAGATAGTCTCTAATAGTGAAAATAATAGAACAAAGCTGAAAATAGTGTAAAATTGTGAATCTTTGTTCACTTTTTCATCGTACGTTGAAAATATTTTACCATAACTACTTTTAACTAAACGAGAGCTTTTTCTTTCGAACTTACTCTATTACTGTCGTAGACTTGTGACTAGTATGTTCGCTTCAGTGTATTTCTCTCTACCTCGAATTTAAGAGAGAAATAAAGTTTGCCATTTAGAGGTGGCTCTTCTATGTAAAACTGGTGCTTTTAACAACAGATTGCCATCATCGAGAAAAAGAGAAATACGCCATTGAAAAATCCTGTACAAGTCTGACAATTTCCTTTTTTTGTTGAATTATTAAAATGACTATTTTTGTGTGTACTTTCGTAAACAAAAGCAAAATAAACAATTGCTAATAAAATAAAGAAGAAAATGAATCAGGACAAAATAAGTTCCTATAGGAGCTGAACTTCTTTAAGTACAGTTGGAGTCGAACTTAGCCGGAGTTACTAATCTCTGCCTTATTGTTATTTGTTGATCGCGTTTGTTCAATAGAATACCGAGATAAACACGTTTTTCTTTGTTCAGTGTAAGTAAAAACATGTGCTGAGAAAAGCAGAAAAAAAGATATAGACTACATATATTCTGTTTGTTTGTTCCTTTCTTTCTTATGGTCAAACATCTTATCACTAGTGTCCAATCAGATCCTTGCTTTGAAAACAATTTAAAAAATTTTCAACTTGTCCATGTCCATCTAATGCAGGGCTGGCAAGTGTACAGTTTTTCTATCTACAAAAGAAAAAAGAAAAAAAATCTTAGAGAATCTTGACAAATTACTCTAGAGAAAAATAGTCAAGAAAAAAAAGACAAGACTCTTTAGAGAATAATTTAAAGAATGTCGATTAGTATTGAGAAACGGGGACGAAAGATTCCTCTTCGAATTCTTTTCGAAGCATAGTGTCATTTATAACATACGAGACGCCCCCGAGTTGTCATAAACTTTGTTGTCAGAAGAAAATAAAAGAAGCAACTTGTTAATACACGAACAGAATAAAAAGAAAAAAGGAAAAACTCATTAGAGCTGTAGCGTACGTATTACGCTGTTACTGTCGGCCGTTGGTAGACATTATCAGGCGACTGGACGTTTGATTATACCAAATGACTTTGAAATTCTCACTAGTGAATAGGGGGTGGCACTTTATCTTTACTTTATTTGTAATTAGTAACGAACTTAGTTACTCGTTACTAGTAAAGAAGTACCTACCTAATCTAGTTATTTTCGTTACTAGTAACTAGTAAATAACTTCGTTATTTTACTTGATAAAGTAACGCCGAGTAAGAACCAATACTAAATGGTACAGGTCGTTCAGTACTGTTACGTCTTGTGTGTACATTTTCACTTTTGACAATGACCGTGAATGGTCGAAATATCAAGTTTTGTAGAATAAAATTCTAAAACTAGCTGCAACTATGAAATTATTTCAAAGATCGTTGCCTACTGATATTAAATTTGTATTAACTTGATAGTATTACAAGAATTAAACATTTTAAGTTGCAGTATAATTATAATCAAAAGAGAAAACTGACGGAACAACATTTTTCTGCAACTTGTTCCGATTCCGTAAGCCCGAACCCGTGAAAGTTTTTTCTTACCCCAAGCCCAGAAGCCCAAGTCCGTAAATTATTTTTGACCCGACCCCGTCTGTTCCACGGGACGGAACAGATTCGATGGGCTCGAAGCTGTCCCGCAGGAGTCTAATGGACTATCTTTTGGAAAAAAGTCCAAGTCTCAACTATCAAAACTGGCAAAGAAAAGCGAAAAATGCAAACCGTGTCATTCTTTATGGAACACCCTTTAAGTAACAGATAATGTGTAACCATTATTAACGGACAAACTTCAACGCCATCGGCAATAAACAGAAGTACTTGAAAAAATATGTGGCGATATCGTTTGGAGAAAGTATAACGCAGCCGCTATACGAAGGAGCTACGATTATTGATTTTGTTGATAATCATAAATATTTAAGAATACATCTCACAAAATGTCTTGATTGGTCTTTGCACGTTACGGAAGTTACAAAGTGTAACTATGTTTTGCATCTTATGCGTAGACACAAGCAAATGTTAAGCACATTCACCCTTGATCAAATCTTCAAATCATATCTGTTATCACTAATAACGTATGCCGAGGCAGTTTACGCTAGAGACCTGCACCAGTTAAGAAAACGTAACCTGAACCCGACCAGACCCGACAACCACTTAGCCCGAACCCGACCCGATAAATTTTTACTCTTTTGTTTTATTATTTAGTTTATGTCTTTTCATTTACCTATTTATTTAGCGGAGGGCATCGCATTTCAGGTGAGTGTCCTTTTGCTAATAGTCTGCTAATATTCCAGAAAATCTGAACGTTATATCTTTCTAAATTCTCAATATCACCTCTAATAAAAGAGAAATGTTATCATTGAAAATTGTGCGGTTTGGAAAAACATTGTTTGCCTTCAGGAAGTTCAATGGCAAGCGAATTTAGGAAAATATAGCGCTCAAATTTTCTGTAATATTAGCAGACTATTAACGAAAGTACAAAAGATAATTTCACTTCTTAATTCTTTGTTCTGACTGGGTTACAGAATTATTACTGTTACTACACACAGTGTTCCTTTAGAACAAAAAATTCATAACTTTTGAAAGAATTGATATGGGTCCTCCTTTGAGAGTTTTTATCTCCTCACTTTCCTCTATTAACTGGCATAATATCATTAAAAACGGAGTTGGGCATCTGAACACCTTACCTCGTTAGCGAATGCAGTTGTTCTGAAATAAGTATTTCAGCTGAAAATTCCAGTAGTCTTAACTTTTCAACAAGTAATACAAAATTGAAGTTATTTATATTTTAAATTGCGCCGCACAATGTTCACCCGAACCTGACCAGACCCGACAACATCTTAACCCGAACCCGACCCGATAGCATCTTAACCCGAATCGGATCGGGTTCGGGTCGGGTTGCAGGTCTCTAGTTTACGCGTACTTAAAAGAACTGCATTTAACAACAACAACTGCATTTAATGAACAACAATGACAACGTTCCGTCTTACTTGAAACCAGTCCTCGACCTACAGTATAAAGCTGCAACAACAATCAGCGGGATCATGCGATTAAGCTCCAGATAGAGAGTACTCCAGATACTCTTGGTTGAATTCCAGCTGAACATATATTTGCCATAAACAAAAATTTACTCTGCTTTAAAATATAAAGACTGCACCATTTCTAATTCACAGAATTACCCATCAACCGGTTGTGAATATACGATTACGTTCAAAAAAGAGTGGCCAACTAAATCTGTTTCATACACGTTTTGAAAAATTTAAAAATTTTTTGTTTCCGTTGGTTGTAAGACAATGGAATGTACTGGCCATTGAACTTCAACAAATGAACACCTTTTCGAATATTTTTCCATACTACAAATGGGCAAGACTTAGAGGCACAGAACGGAAATATGACATGTTGCTAATCAAATGAGAGTTAATTTTGCCAGTAGGGTCTGATTTGTGAACATCTGCAGTTTACATAATATATCTAACATTTGAATATCAGAATATCTGAACATCTAGATATTATGTAAATTGCAGATGTTCACAAATCAGACCGGGCTCAATTTTGCCCCATTCAAAAAGAGCAGAAACGAGGCAGAAAAAGTTCCAAAAATCAGAATTTTTCTGCCAAAATCGGTTTTACAGGAACTCTTTTCATATAATTTTGTAGAGAATTGGATTGCGGGACAAACTTTTCTGTTGTCCCGAACCCGTAAGCCCGAGCCCGAACATAAAAATTTTTGTCCCGTCCCGTAAGCCCGCTTCCGTGAGTAAATAATGTTGTCCCGAACCCGTCTGTCCAGTGAAAAGATTTGAAAATCCAAAACAAACGGTACTGGCCGACCTTGCCAGTACCGTCAAGTCAACCGGGACGGGACAATAAAGCCCATAAATTTTTTCACTGGACAGACGGGTTCGGGACAACATTATTTACTCACAGAAGCGGGCTTACGGGACGGGACAACAGAAAAGTTTGTCCCGCAGGACTCTATAGTCTATCCAATTCTCTACAAAATCATATGAAAAGAGTTCCTGTAAAATACAATCGTGAAATCCTATGCAGCCAATACTAGTATGCGTGTGAAGAGAACC